ATGACCTTTTTAACAATATAGGGTAAATAAAGTACATAAAAGTGGAAACCATGAATCATGATGCTACTGATGCTGCCTGGCCTGCTCCCTGCCTAAAATTAGCCTAACAGATGTAGGGAAGCCTAACAGATGTAGGGAACCGAAGTTTCCGAATTTGATTGATCTTCATTGGTGAATCATGGGTTAGTCTACATGATTAGTCAAAAGTGGGGGTCTATCACCTCCAATGGTACTTCACTCCATCATATCATTTTCTTTTCTAGTTGCTTTGCTTTGCTTTAATTTATTCCCCTGTCAGCAGCCCCAAAAACCATTCTTGCTCTCTCCAAAGGCATCTCCCCATAATCCAATACAAAATCCAAATACTAGTAGTAAAATACTAGCTGTTCCTCATTCATGTTATCAAAACTTGAAAAGACTAAAGAAGACTGGTAATCCAAGAAAAAGGTGATCAAAACAGGGCATGTCTGGTTAGTCACTCACTAATATAGTATTTGCATGGATATGTGGAGATTGTTTGTGACTTTAGAGGAGTCTGGTCTGGTCTGGTCTAGTCTATTTTCATGATTTTCTTTTAAGATTTTAAACAAGAGAGGGAGGCTTGTGCTCAAAGCACTGCACCCTTTATATACCTTTCCTCTCTTTCACTTTTATTACTGTTGGTTTGGTTCTCTCTTAAAGCAAAGCAAAGCATCTCTCCAATCTCCTCCTCACACACACCACCGCTTTGCCTTGCTTTCCCTTGTGAATTTCATCAGTCTTTCCTTTCCTTGGTTTAGAATGCAGTTTCTGCTTTTTATTTCATCTTTAATATTAATTAATTACCTATTGGATTTACAAAAACACTGTGAAGTTTGGAATCTCTGCTTATAGCCTCTGGCATTTTAGTTGATGAAGTCAAATTCAAACTTGGGTGTTTTGTTTTCTCGACTTTTTCGTCTGGGTTTACACCTAATGACTTGTGATGTTGATATAGAGAAACCCATAATTGGCGGCTTTTCTTTTCAACTTAAGCTTTAGTTTCACGTAATTGATCATGTAAATTCCCAGGAGTATTCTGTGGTCTTCAATTCTTGATTATTTTTGAGACTTTACCATTTTTCAATCCATTTCTCTAACTTTAGGAAAATCAGAGCGTTTCAACCTCTAATCTCCCCGGTCGTCACTGTACAGGCTTCTCTCATTCTCCATCCTACACAAAGTTTCTTACTTTCCCTTTATCAAACCATTTAAATCATTTTTAGTTATTCATATTGTTCATTTGTTTACTTTTCAGATTATATGTTTGTAAAAGATCATTCTGTTGCTCGGAAACCAAGTTGATGTTCATCTTCAATCTTTCCCTCTTAACTTGAGAATTTTGAAATCAAGTGCACAATATTTTTCTGTTTCATTCTGAGGAACCAAACAGACAAGTAATATCAGCTCCATGAGTTCTTTAACAGGATCAGGGGATTCCTGGCATCCCGAAGTGACTGCCAATACGACCATCTCAAGCTACTGGCTCAACTGGAGGGTCTTAATTTGTACCATTTCGGTCTTGATTACGATGACATTTTCATTGCTTCTTATATGCAAACATGAAGGCTTCCGCAAATCAAACCAAGTTAATGGAGAAGCCCAACAAAAAACAGCAGGATTTCTGTATGAGAATGAAACCTGGACACCATGCCTAAAAGGCGTCCACCCTGGTTGGCTGCTCGCTTTCAGAGTTCTAGCATTCATTGTGCTTTTGATATGCCTATTTGTCATCGATTTGGTTGATGGTGGCAGCATTTTCTACTTTTATACTCAGTAAGCTCCCTTTTTCTTGTGTAGAGTCCATCTTATTCCAAAAACTTGCATTAAATAAATGCTAGGACGAAGGGTTTTCTCTTTGGAAATTTTTGCATTCATGCGATTACTTCCCTTAAATAAGTGTGTGGAGTTCTGTATCATGCAGATAATTGGAAAAATACCCATGAAAATTGGGACTGCATTGTGGTGATTTTGGATTAGTTCTTGAAATTTTCGATAAATTTACTTTTGAGGTTTCATAAATACATTGTGTGTGCGGAGATAAAACCGAAGATAAATTTGTAAGTTTATTTCCATTGGAAGCTTTCCTCTGTTTTTTTTTTTTTTTTTTTTTTTTTTTTTCTTAAATCTCTTCCTTCATTGAGTAAGCTTTGCTTAGTACATGTTTAAGATGTTTATCATCCCTTCTAAGCCTTTTTATCTGTGCTGGACAGGTGGACGTTTACATTGATAACCATTTATTTTGGGGTATGGCTTATTCTTAGGACATCCACAATTTTATCTAATTTAGAATTTATGCCTGTTTGTATTGGTCCTTACGGCTAATGGTCTGAATTTCTATTTATAGCTTGGATCACTACTATCTATGTATGGATGCTACCAATATCACAAATGGGTCAGCGGTGACAAGGTTGATAATGTGGAGGTAGATGCCGAGCGAGGAACCTCTAATAATACAGCAAAAGATTCACATAACCTCGAAATATATCCACCTTCAAAACCTGCAGGCATTTGGGGTTACACCTTTCAAATATTGTTCCAGGTAAATTTTTAGAAATCCATACCAGGCATTAGAAATTAACGAGTTCCATTATATGAAAATGAATGGGTTCTACATGCTGCTTAGTGCCTATCAGTTTTTGCATACTTCAGTCTTTGACATGTCTGCAAAGTTTTATTCTTTTCCTTCATCTGTCAATCTCAAATATAACATGTTACTTCCAGTCTCTGGGTGGTTTATATTTCTTTTTCTATGAGCAGATGAATGCAGGAGCTGTTCTGCTGACAGATTTTGTTTTCTGGTTTATAATTGCTCCATTTCTTGAAAAAAAAGATTATGGTCTGAACTTTGTAAGTACTGTACTACTATAATCAAGTGATATTGTTCCCACTAATACATGATTGATTTCTATCTGTTTCCTTCTTTGCTCTCTAAGAAGGTTTTTGATCTTTTTCTGTGGCAGTTGACTGTTAACATGCATAGTATCAATGCTGTTTTCCTGCTTGGTGATACTGTTTTCAATTGCTTGGTAAGTAACCTTAACCAATTTCAACTATCAAAACGCTAATTGTTTCCAATCTCTTTGTTCACTTCATAATTTTGTTTTGTTTTCTTTCAGCGCTTTCCCTATTTCCGGATTGCTTACTTCTTCCTGTGGACAGTAGCTTATGTAATATTCCAGTGGATTCTCCACGCCTGTGTCCATATTTGGTATTGTCATTCATTACCTCATTCCTGTATTCAGATTACAATCTTCATTCATTACCACATTAATATTAGTTCCGATTAATGATTATAAACAGGTGGCCATATCCATTTCTGGACTTGTCGTCTTCACTTGCTCCATTGTGGTAGGTTCTTCTAATCATCTTCTTCCTATAGCATGAAAAAGATGATATTCAACTGAAACTTCGTTCATATATAACACATTTGCACAATCTGTAACAATCAAATTGAAGAAATATCCTTACTTTCTTCTTTGAATTGGATTTCAAAGGTACTTGGCAGTGGCATTGATGCATTTTCCATGCTATGGTGTTTTTGCTTTGGTAATAAAGCTGAAACACCATCTGTTGTCAAGATGGTTCGGCAACTCCTATTGGTGCACGAGGTAACTTTGATAGAAGAAAGGATACGGTAACCCCCATACAAGATGCATAGTTAGCAAAACTTAACATGATGGAATGATAGAATTCACAGAGATATCAGTCCATCCGTGTTGAGTTTTGGAACATACACACAAAAATAAGGTTGGAAGCAGCAGTCTTGGTTAATTTATAGATCTATGATAGAAGACTGTCGTAAATGTAAGTAAAAATTCCAGAAATTCAGAGAGGAAAATTCTGTTTCTTTCTTTCACATTAATTTTGCATTCTCCTATGAATGAAAAGCTATATAGAAGTTTTATTAGTTTAGTGAGAATGTAGTTTAGGAGAAAATAGAAAAGGGATTCAGAGATGAACTCCATCTTGAGAAAAGCTCAAAGCATATTATTCTTCAACTAATCTGGTAATGGAAAGGCATACATATCTATTTTTCACCTAATAGGTAAAGCTAAATCCATATCAAATAACAGGCACTTTTGACAGCCTAGCTACATGGCATGGGCAGTTTGTGATCTTAAAGCAAGGCTTATGGAAAACTGATCTGCACGCTAGATGTGCATTGTTCAGTCTCACCTTCCTCCTGTGCTGTTAGGTTGCGTCAATTATGATAATGATCAACAATCACCCATTTATATTGTACCTCTGAAAGATCTATCTTGCTCTTCTGAAATACCATTTAATAGGCTCAAATGAAATAGGAGCATCATGTAGTGCGAGATTTTTTCTGTAATTATCCATTTTTTAATTACTAATTTTACATTTCTAGTCTAATCTAGAAATTCTTTGCTTATGATTTGCTGCACTAGAGATCATTCAGTATGTCAACTGAAAACTGAATCAAAGATATGTATGCAAGAAAAGCTAAATAATTTCATTAACAAAACTGTAAAGCAGCATAATTTCTCAATGAATTTGTTAATCCGTCACTGCCCTATTACCCAAAAATTAATCAAGAAAGAATCCTTGCAAATTAGAAACTGCATCTGTTTTTCTATGATCAATAATCCAGAGTCATAATCTTAATGACACCGGGCTGCAATACAACCACAGAATCTCCGGCCTTGCAGAGTCCCTTTTCCATTGCATGTTGAAGGGCAAACCTTGTTGTTTCTTCTGTTAACTCTGAGTAAGAAGCCTTTGCTGACCCAGAACTCAAAACAGGCAGCAGACCCCTGTAAATAAGGCAATGCCTTGCAGGAAATTCTTCACTGCAGGACCACTCAAGGAAATCTGTGGTTATTTCAGGGATGATTGTCGCCAAAACTGGCACACTTGGTCTGTACTTGGACACCAGCTTTGCTGTGAAACCTTTCCTGGTCAGGACCAAAATCATGGCTGCTTTAATGGTACTGGCAGTCCTAACAGCTGAAGAGGCAAGACTTTCTAAGGGGCTCATTGGCATTGGTGCTGTTTCCATTATTCTCTTGAAGAGATCTCCATAGTTTATGAAGTCCTCTGCCTCCAGGCAGATTCTGGCCATGGTTTGAACTGCAAGCTCTGGGTAGGCTCCAGCAGCAGTTTCTCCACTGAGCATCACGCAGTCAGTGCCATCTAGAACTGCATTGGCAACATCAGTGGCCTCAGCCTGAGTAGGCCTTGGAGATTTTATCATGGATTCCAGCATCTGAGTTGCTGTTACGATTGGCTTTCCTAGTATATTAGCCTTTTGAATCATCATCTTCTGAGCCAGGAAAATCTTCTCAATCGGAATTTCCATCCCAAGATCACCTCTTGCCACCATAAATGCATCTGAATTTGCAAGAATCTCATCAACATTCATAACACCCTCCTGATTCTCCACCTGCCAATACAAAGAATACAACCATTAATTAATTACTAATGAAAATGCCAAGAAGTAATCTAAACTGTCTCCATGTTGTTGACAAGATTAATAAATTCGTTGATAACATGGAAAGGAAATTAACAAAATAAATAACAAACCTTGGACATTAGCATGATGTTCTTTGCATGCTCTCCAAGCACCTTTCTGACCTCAACAAGATCTGATCCTTTCCGAACAAAGGACAAGGCAATTATGTCAATCTTGTTAGGGACCCCCCACTGCAAGATGTCCTCCTTGTCTTTCTCCGTCAAGGTTGGAAGATCCACGATTACCCGGGGGAGATTGACATTCTTTCTTTCACCCAAAAGAGCAGAGTTGTCACACCTGCAACGGACCAGACCCGATTCCTTGTCACAGGCCAAGACAGTGAGGCTAATTGTGCCATCAGAACACAGAATAACACTTCCTGGCTTCAAATCTTGAGCCAGTTTTTGGTAGCTCATGGAGATGAGATTCTCATCTCCCTTTATGCTGTAGTCTGTAGTGATGGTGATCTCTTGACCCTGCTTCAGTTGGATTGGCTTCCCTTCCTTCAAAAATCCTGTTCTTATCTCTGGTCCCTAAAAATATCAGAAAAATACAATGAACCACAGGTAATAAATTAATGAAAAAAAGAAGAAGAAGAAGCTATAACAGTAAAATCTACCTACTATTTGAAAGGGAAATTAATCATTAATGAAACAAAAAAGGGTGGTGGGAATATCTGTACCTTGGTATCCAACATGACAGCACAGAGAATTCCAGTGTTGGCCATGGCGGTCCTGAGATTATCCAGGGTTTCCTGGTGGTATGCATGGGAGCCATGAGAGAAGTTGAAGCGCGCAACGTTCATGCCCGCCTTCAAAAGCTTCTCTACCATCTCAACTGACCTTGAAGCCGGCCCCAGGGTGCAGACGATCTTTGTCTTGGGTCTTCTCTTACTGTCTCCTACGGCAAGGATGTTATCCATTGTTCCTGGAGGAATTTCCTAAAGCAGAGGAAAAGAGAAATTTGTTTGTTGAGATCAATGAGAGGTTTACGTTTGCGTTATATAAGGGTTTAATTGAATATCAAATCTTACTAGTATTATTACTAGTAATTTGTTTCCTGAGAGGAATACGAGTACCATTTTGTGCTCAAGAAAATATTACTGTATGTTTATTTTTTTTACTGACAGAAACAAGTGTAAGGAAAAAGAAAGTCAAAAAAATGAAAAAAAATTGTGATTATTTTATGGCAGAAGATCTTCAAAAAAAGAAAAAAAGAAGAAGAAGCTAATTGCAACAGAAAAGAGTACAATCCCTACAATTAAGGGTGTCTGCGCGAGGTGATATGATTCAGATTTTAATATATTTCAAATCAATTTAATTTAATGGATTAATAAAATTTTGAAAAATAATTTTGAAATAATTTTTTATATAATTTTTTCATATAATTTAAGGAATTATTTAAATAATTAATTTTTTTTAATTTATGTGAGAGTCAATGCATTCATTTATTTAATAACATATAAAAGTTGTATTAAAAAATAATATAAAAAATTGTCTCTATAATACCACTCTAAAATTTTTAAATTAATCTAATCCATTATTATATGATAACTAAACCATCCATCTTAAATCAGATTGGTGTAATTCGATCAAATTGATTAGTTTTTAATATTATTAAATAGATGAAATAATGTAAAAAATTTTAACTTTAAGTAAAATATATAATAATAAAACACATTAACATTTAAATCAGTAAAAACATAATCAAAAACACAAATTATAAACAAATTATTATATTTTTTACTATTGTAAAAATTGAAAAAATCTAGAAAATTTTCTTGATTACATCACTATAGGTATTAAAAACAATAAAAGATAACATTAAGTTTCAAATATAATATAAGTAAAATTTAAGATTAAAATTAATTTTTTTTCTTAATGCACCAATGATTTAATTCCATATTTCAAACTTTGTTAAAAGCAAATAAAATTTAATATGAATATTATTAAAATTAATTAAAAGCATTTATAATAAAATTTAAGACTCATTAACTAAAAATCTAAAAATAATAAAATATTAAAACTAATTCTATTATATAGAGTCTCCTATAGTCTTTTGAAGTTATGATAATATGAATGAGGAATAGTTAGTATTATACTGGCAGCATTTGGACTTTGTATTGGAGTATGGGGAGATGCTTTTGGAGGATTTTGTTGTTTGTATCCCCATGATATAGTAGACAAGGTATCCTAATCCAATGAAAAAACACCACATCAGTTCCTTTTTTCTTTGTGATTGATGAAATGTGAAAAAAAATGTTGATATGATATATTTAAATTGGGTTGGGATACCACGTCTGCTGCATTCCGGGATACAACAGACTCTCTCCCTTTGGAGAGAGCAAGATTGGTTTTTGGAGCTGCGAACAGGGGAATAAATTGAAGCAAAGTAATAGGGGAAAACAAATGATATGATGAAGTACCATGAGAGACGATAGACCCCCACTTTTGACTAAGCGAACCAATTGGACCGCTGATTAACCCATGATTCTGTAATCAAGATCAATCAAACTTGCAAACTTTATTTTTGTGCATTTGTCTGAAGGCCCTGCTTTCTGAATGTTCCAATTTCTCCAAATTTTACACATGAGAAACATTATAAGCAGTTCCTTGCAATGACTTGAATACAACAAACCTTTCATTGTTTCTTCCTAACTCCCCATGGAGAACTATACTATCTATTAATGACCTGATTTTCAATTCAACAAAAGGACAAAATAAAATGTTTGATTTGTTTCTTCAAGAAGACTAGTAAGAGACAAGGAGGTTGAACTTTGCTATTAATGCACATATACAGAGGGACAAAAATTAGTTCTCTACCTCCTGTGATGAATTATCAGCATCAGACTTGAGTAAGCGAAGTATGAAGGAGAACTTAACTCCAGGCGCACAAGGTCACTAGCTATTTTATCTACATTAATTGATTCTTTTATTATGTTCAATTCACTTGATCTATCTCTTACTTCAAGTATGTCATCTCTTGCCATTTCATTAGAAGTAATGTTGGCAATTGTACACTGCATTAACACATATGGAAATTATATGAATCCAAACTGCTAAGACATGAACAAACCTATAGTGGTATAAAATTTACCTTCAAATTCCATATCTAAAACCTTGTTCTCTGAATGTTCCAATTTCTCCAAAGATCTAGCTTAATGCAGTTTCTAGGACCATCAACACCAAAATAAGCTTAACTTTGACTAAGTTTGCCCCACTATAATCAATTATGCTTCTGCCAGTATTGCATACGGATGATCTTTCAGGACAGCAAACAAAAAATATTAGTGCTGATATAAGTGATGATGATGCCCCTAGAATTGGACAAAACATGCTCGTAGAATTGGCAATAGTAAGAAGAGCAAAAAGGCAGTCCAAACACAAACCTTGAAAATAAATAGATACCAATAAAGTAAAACATATGATATCTGTTATGTTATTCGATCGGGAATTGAACAAAAAGAAAAAAATCAATTCATGTTTGCCAACCAAGTCAAAATCAAAGAGAAAGAAGAGAACTTCGTATTTTGGTAATTCTTCAGGGATCATGTTTAACCTTGAATGCTATTAATAAATTCTACAACGTCTTCTCTCTCGTCAAAAATAAATTTAATAATTTACCCTTTAATTTTCACAAAAATAACAAAAAAGCCACCCATAGACAGCTCGCATGCCTTTCTTCTTCTTCTTTTTTTTTTTTTAATTTTGAATAGATACAATTTGGGGGAGGTGATGGGAATACCATAGCATTGCCGTGACTGGAACCTTAGTCATTGTTAAGGTATTAAATGTACTTAAAAACTAGTTTACAAGATTTGGTGCGAGAGTTGGCATGTCTTAAGTGGGCTAGATGTGGGGGAACATAGCGCCCACGTGTAACTCAAGATGCCAAGTTTGTCGCCAAGATTCAGCCAAAAATGAGTAGTAGATTTTTGTTTTGAATCAAATTGAGATAAAAAAGTAAAAAATAAAAACTAAATGGCAAATGCTGCTAGCGAGCATAAAGAGAGAAAAATTTATTCATTACCTGTAAGTAGTTAAGTTTCCTTTTACAATATCAATTTAAATCATTGGATTTCAACTAACATTTAGTCATTATAGCTAGCTAGATAAAGATAAGTTTTCGTACATCTCTAACTTGTACAATCTTTAGCAGCTTCCAAATCCTCTTTATTCATCATCTTCATTCTCTTCTCCATTCTCAATAGCATTCTCCAACTCTAGTGGTATCTCATCAATATCCTTCCTAAGCAACGCGATTGCAGCAACAATGTTTGTTGCAACTATGATTTTTACGCAGCGACAAGAAGTCTTATGGTGCCATCCATGCATTGCTTGGCTGTAATTTGAAGATTGAAAACATCCAAAACAAAATCACTCACATTACACAAAAATTCATTGTTAGCATCATAGGGTAAGAGATTCTCGATTACAGCACCTAGTTTATTGTTGACGAATCCAAGACACTTGATCAACTTTGTTTGGGGGAAAATCTCTAAGATTTTTTTTTCTTTTTGACATTGATAATTTCCATAAGCACTTCCCTTGTAAAAAAACTCAAGAGTAAAGGCAAAACAATGGCAACAACCTTGATTAAACTTGTGCATGTTACATGGAGCATGGTTTTAAAACTCGGCCTGGCCTGGTTGGTTGAACCAGTTCAATTGAACTTGGAATTAAAAATGGACCGGTTTCATGCATTGACCCGTTTTGCAAATTGGCCCGTGTTAGCCCGCTAGACTCCCCGGACTCGCTCCAAAAGCCCAGCCATCCCACTCGCCGGGCAGAATCTATGATGCTTTTTATTAACTTTTTTTTTTTAATGTAAATCTCATACCTGCTACATCTTCGTGACTCCATAGCATCTCAACACACCAGTCACCGCTTCATCACCTCCGGAAAAGTAGCCTAATCTCTCTGCTCCAGTTCCCTCATCTTCCTTGCCTTCCTCATCTCTCATCTTCCTCTGTGGAGGCATCGTCAACGCTGTTATCTTCCCTTGAGACCTTGGAGGCTGGCCACGCCATCGCTTCCCCAAACTCATCTTCGAAGCTTTCACTATCTCCACCAAACTCCTACCCTCCCCTCTCATCGCCACGCCAGCATCCCCTACAAGCTGCGAGTCATCCATTTCTCGAATCTTATTGCATTGATCGACGGTCATAACCTCATCTCCCTCCAAAGAATCACTACAGTTTCGATTATCATCAACATGGCTATCTTGTAAACAAGGTCGATAAGAAGAAGCTGTAGTTGACTCAAACGCTTGATGCTATTTTGTTTATTACATGATAAAACTTTGAGAAAAGAAAGAATATTAGAAAGAAATTGATTTGAAAAGTCAAAAAAGTTGGGAATGGGGGCTGAAGAGGCACATGAAATTGGACTTTTGAGGAAGAAGGGATGAGACAAGGCTTAACGGATGTGACATGAAAATGTGGAGTATAAAAAATATTACAATTATGTAAATGAAATATTATTTTATTGGGAAAGATTGAGAAGTAAAAATTATGTATGGGTAGTAAATTTTAATAATTAATACCCATATATAATTATATGTACTTAATTATTATCTATCATTTTATAAAAAAATTTATATTATATTATGTATTTTAATATTTATTAGTTTAAATTTTAAAAATTATATGTATTTAATTAAATTTATTATTTTAAATA